ATATATATACGTATATATATATATATATATATATATATATATGTATATGTATATACATTTATATTATATATTATACATATATATATATATATATATATATATATCAAGAATATAGATATAGATATAGATACAGGTAGAGATATAGTTATAGGTATACGAACAGTATTAAATTAAAAATATATTCATCTTGACGAATGAATATATGTATGTATATATATATGTTTGTGTGTGAATACCAGATATGCATGTTTATATATTATATATATATATATATATATATGTGCGTGTGTGTGTGTATAGTTGGTATTTACAAAACGTACATCTTTATGTTTATGTTCAGGTATGTTGCAATATATTATATTCAGGTGTATTACAATATATGTTTATATATATTGCACTATACATGTATATATATTTCGAAATATATTTATGTATATCTGTATAATTTTATTTTACAATTGCACACTCACACACACATATATATATATTTATATTTATATATATACATATACATATATATATATATATATATATATATATGAAGTATATGTATTTGTATATGGATGTGCATATATATATATATGTATATATATATATATATATATATGCACATACATATATACAATATTTTACCTTTTTTCATCTATGTATGTGTGCTTTTAGATGATTGATATATATATATATATATATATATATGTAGACATCCATACATGCTTGTGGTATTGACATCTTGTTACTTAAAAAGTTTTAATTGAAGGAAAGGATTTTATTCAAGTATGATTGACCAGTAATATTGCGCCTAAAACTATTTTCGTTAAGTAGTTAACGATAATCTAGCTAATTTTGGTTATCTCTCGTCACTTCATACAACTCCTTCTTTCGTCTGCTTGTAGGCTGTATTTATTTCAGCCTTATAAGGTATTTCTATACGCATTTATGAGGAGATGCATACCTACATACTACCTCCTGTACGTGCCAATATGTTTTTCACGTTCGTATGAGAACATCTGCATTTAATTCATGGTCTAGTGCAAACTGATTTTCATGTATACCTTTACATCTATTTTATATTTTACGATCTAATTCAGAACGATATGAACCTTCGAGTGCGCTTGTATGACCATTTTTTCTTGACGTAACGTGTTTTTAAGAAAACCACTCGACTGGAATGTATTATTGTCCAATGGTTTTGTGCTATGTAATGTAACATTCGTACAGAGTGTAATTAGTCAATTACCCCTGATTCCGCCGCTGCTCTTCTTGGATCTGCTCCAAATCAATCGAGAAAATCAATCTAGCGCACACGTCACCAATCCACGCTTACAATATGCAGCATACATCCATCAATGCCGCACAATGCTCTAACACTGACAGTTTCTTCCCATTGTCCCATTGTCCATTGTAACAGGTGCTTGAATTCGCACGCGGACTTTTTATCTCCACCACGTGGGGCATGGTCGAGCACGTGGCCTATGGCGAAACCTCGTCGCACCATGAGGCCAAGCATCTGCTAAGCTTAGTGATCTCAGTGTTTTCAGTCGGACGTTTGTTCGCCTCTACCATCCTGGGATACTTATCGGATCACGTCGGCGAACGTACTGTGTACATCACGACATCCCTGGCCGCTTTGATGGGCAACTTGATGTATGTGCTCACGTATGTGTACCCCTCGTCCACTCTGCTCGTGGGTGCACGTTTGGTCGCCGGCGCTTCCACGGGCGTTCTGGCTGTGTGTCGCGCACACACGGCCAAGATTTCAACAGTGGAAGACAGGACAAAGTACATGGCACTCAATAGTGCAGCCCAGTTCGTGGGCCTAGGTCTATCACCATTCTTAACGCTGGCGCTAACCAAAGCTAGGTCGGATGGAGCGTGGTTTAACTCGCTTACAGCGCCTGCGTTCGTGCTTGCCGGGTTCAATGTGGTTGTTATCTTCTTGGTCGTTTTTGTGTTTACGGATATCTCTGGTGTAGACGCGAGCCTTTATACTGAGCAGATTGAACCCATCCACCCGTCGAGCCCTTCAATTTCTGCGCGTATGTCAAGTTTGTTTGTCTTTGTGCTCGAGTTTTCGGGCCGGGAATCATATCCTCGGTGTCGACTTGTGAATGGGTTGGTTGTAATCATTTGCTAATCTAACTGCAAACGGGAGATGTGTATTCGGAAGATCGTTGGAATATTCAAATGTTGTCTGATTTGTGTGGCAATTGTGGGCTCGTTCCTTTGTCCTAATACGGACGTTTTTATGTAATTGCAACGCTTGGCAACGTTCACTTCCGTCGGCCGTATTGTCTTTCGGAGTAACCGATATGTGATGATATCGACTTTTATGTGTGTATGAATCTGCTTTTGCTCGTGTCTAAACCACTATTACGAACCTCTACTATTATTCCCGTAACATAAACATATATAGATGGAGTTGAGTATCGCAGTATTCAAGCGGCTGAGCCAGAGGACAATGAAGAATTACAAAGAGAGATGAAGGCAGAGAAGATTGTGGCCGATAAATGGTCAGACGCGGAGTGGACGCGACTGGTCAACATCGGAATCGGGCTGTACATATTTTTTAACTTCTCTTCGAGATGTATACTCGCATTGGTCGAGACATTTGGGGCCCCCATGTACTTGGAGATTCACCACCTTCCATCGAAAGACACGATTGCGGTAGGGTGTCGTTAGCGTGCATCTGCGAGTTGTCCCACTCCTCAATACATTTCACAGTACTTAATTCAATACCGTTGTTTTTTACTCGTTACTGATTTAGTTGCATTGATCATCGGGTTTCACTTTAAGTTCATTCTAGCACTTGATTGTTGACTTTTTGCATCATTTGCTTTTCTACTAATACTGCAGGCCTCAATGTTTTTTGGAACCCTTGGCTTCCTTGGAATGATTTCCTTTGTCATCACCATCTGGGCTAAGCGCTTCGTGACTGAGGACTACATGCTGATGTTTGCGTTTATCTGCATTGGTATCGGCAGTACGACACTTGCCATTACCGGATCTACGCATTATCCTTTGTTTATGTTCTCACTATATCTTATCTGGTCCATCGGGTTCCCGGTCAAGTCAACGGCGATTATGTCCAGTTTCAGCAAAATTCTTGGTGGCAGACCACAGGTATGTGATTCTAGCACATGGCCTAGGCTATTCAATTCATGCTCAGTTGCGCAAGACGTTTACAGTATCGTTGATATCGTTTGTAGAGCCTCACTGTATCTCATTGAAAATCTTTATTATTTCACCTTTGCATGACCCTGGGAGCACCTTATGGTATCAATGCTATCTACACGTCACATCCAAAGCTATCTGCAAATTGCCACTCTAAGAGAACTTCTTTTTTTTTACCTCAACAGGGTGTAATGATGGGGTGGATAGGCACTTTCGGTTCCTTAGGACGTATTTGTATGCCGCTACTAGCCGGTTTCTCAACCCCCACAGTAGCGTTTGCGATTGGCGGTGTGATGTGCGTTGCCTGTGTTGTGTTGCTATACTTGTACATGTCCGCCGTCTCGAGCTACAATCGCCGCAACAGGCACATTTCGACGATTAGCGAGGGCTAATAGTAGTTCATTAAGTTTAAATCAAATTTATAAGGGAATAGTGAGGACTTTGATCTCGCTCAGTACAATGTATGATTTTAGTGAGCAGGACGGTATCAATGATATTGATGATCATGATTAGGGCCAATAGATTGGCAAAATGAAGATTGTGAAAACAGGAGGGCATGCACGAAACCTATCTTGATTCTGGCGCGCTCAAGACCAGGAATGGGAACACCTTTACGGTTGGTCTTCCACAAAATGGAACTTTCATATGAAATGTACTAATTCCGAAAGTCGGGAGTAGAAAAGGAAGGGCTACAAAGTATAACATACAGACACGGGTTTTAATGATTGCAAAAGTTGACTTATAATAAATAAGAAGAAACCAAGTGGTGATAACTAAGCACTCAACACGGGTAAACCATTTGTTCATAACTTCATAGACAATTACATTGTAGAAATGGTTCATATGAGAAATATTGCTAACAAGAGGTTATGGACATATGTACTACATATGTGACTGTTTAGATTAGTAGGCCGAGCATCAAATATTCAAAATGATGGGGACTATATTTTTAAATAAAAAAGGATTGGATATTGCTATATCGAATATCATTCCATTGGCCTAAAATTTGTAAATGCCGGTATATAAATTATTTATAGTACAAAGCTATTTGGTTTAGAGTAAAAAGTAAATACTTTGTTCTTTTTGTGTTTTTACAATGTAAAAAATGGCTAAAATCAGAAATCTATGTCATATGTTTTGTAATATTTATAGAAAAAAAGATCAATTGGTTATGCCGTTATGGCAAAGCTCGGAGCTGTAGAGTGTAGACTAGCCACAGGCTGCCAGGCTGCCGCTCACTGGAACTGGAGTGGCAGTTGGTGTAAAATTGATTTTATACACCGTCAACCTAATATTTGCCTCAGCTCCAACACATGCAGATTATAGCTTCCTCTCCCCCTCCCTCTCCCACTCGCCCCCGTTGCGTTGTGCAAGTATATATGTGTCCATCAAACGTTGTTGGCTGTTCATATTCTTGTGCTTGCAAGAGATATTAAGAAACGACTTCGCGCGACAACAAGGAACAACTTTTCGCTCCACGATGAAATTGCAAACATGTTTGCTACTATCATTCGCCACGGCGACCCAAGTCTGTGCAACAAGTACGCGCCAAGCACCAGCGGTTGCACCGGCCACGAATACGACTGCAGAGAATACACTGACTCCTATGCCTACCACAACGATAACGAAGATGCCAGGATACGAGACAACATGCAGCGCTAAGCTCAGCCTACGATGTGATCAATATTTTGGGGCAGAAGTGGACATGGACAAGAAATGCTGCGAGTATGATGGCGAATGTGGTGATTCCGGTTTGCCTCTGTGCTCTCATGTGAATTGCTGTACCGGCACGGAGGAAGACTCGTCTCAAGTAGTCCAGTCAAAGGAAAAAGCGTGTGACTGTGCCGGAGCGGTGATCGAAAACAAATGCTACAAGACGGTACAAGAGGCAATGAAAGACAGTGAATACAACGACACAGTCTACATCGGAGGCACTAAAACTATAGAAGAGCCGATCTATTTTTCAAACAAACTGATCACGGTCGCTGGTGTCATGTGTGACGGCGTGCGAGCCAAAATCGTATCGGATTTCGACTCCAAGACTGAAGCGGCATTCGAGGCAACTCGATGGGATCAAACTATGTTGTTCCGGGATCTAGATATCACTGGCGTGCCTGGTAAATCTAGTGCGGGCATTCACGGACTAGGAAATGAAAATGACGCGAGTAACCAATTGGTAGATTTAACTCTGCTTAATGTGCATATATACGATTTATGGTGCCAGCGCGTGGGATGTGGCATATTCCTGGGAGGTGCGAAGAGGCTGTACACAGATGAAGACTGTGTATTCCGAAATATTCAATTGATGTCTTCCGACGATAGTCTCTATGCCGGAGGCGCCGCCATTGGTGTTGTGTATTTGCCTGAAGACCATACCTTGGAAATACATGGTACATTCACAGACAACATAGCAAGCTACGAAGAAGGATCAATTCACAGTGGTGGCGGTGCTGTCTACCTAGATTATGTGGCGGGCGATGCGCTTCTTGATGGTAAGTTCGAGAACAACACAGCAAACCAAGGAGGTGCCGTCAATGTACAAGTTAACCACGGAAATCTCACCTTCGATGGACTTTATAAGTCTAACGTAGCTATTGACGGGGGTTATGGTGCACGTGCAGGCGCAGTTCGTGTTTCGTCGCTGCGTGTCAACAGTTTCACGCAGTTGAAAGGTGACTTTATAGGTAACATCGCCCAAGGTCGCGGTGGGGTGCTGGCAACTAATTCACATCAGGCTTCATCCCATATGCTGCTTGATGGGTATTTCCACGCGAATGCTGCAGCCGAAAAGGGTGGTGTTTGGAATTTTTGGTCTGGCAGCACTATCTACAGAGGTTCTACAGTGATGCACGACGATGCTACTTTCACCGAGAATACTTCGGGTGACGAAGGGCTTTCCAACCTTTTTTTTATTAGTGGCTACCCTTCAGCGAAGAAGAGCATCCCCAAAAATCCCAGTGGAAAACTCACCGAGGCCGAGTGGAATGGGGAAACAACAGTTGTGTATGGTAATTTCAGCGAGGTCGTGTTATTGACGGAGGACAGCGGTCTCAGTGAAAAGGAGTGGTTTCACTACTCACAATCCCTACGTTTTGGTGGATATCTACCCGATGTTACATACGAGGACTTAGTGATGGAGGAGAGAAACGCCTCGGCGGCCGAGAGATACGCCGAAAAGATTTTAGCCTTGGAAGAGATGTATGTCAACAAAACAGAGCGTGCGGAGTTTTTGGCAGAAATCGACACTTCCAGAATCTTGGATAGATACGAGAACGCAACTGAAATAATCTCACAGCGTTTCGTGGAACACTCGGAGAAGTACGATTCTAGGTTAGCCAACAAGACGGATAGCATCGCCGAGACTTACAATGCCGCCATAGAGAGGAGTGACGTCCGTTATGATAACAAAACATCGATTGCTATGGAAGGGTACGATGCCAAGATACAAGCTGCACACGATGAGCTTGCACTGAACAACCCGGAAGCTCTGCAAGCGGAATTTGAAGCTGCGCAAATCGAAATTCAGGAGCGATTCGAAACTGTTACGGCCGGCAATGAGAAGCGGCTAGAGGAGAGTATTCAGAAAGCCGAGATAAACTTTATTGACGCAAAAGAGAGTTATGATAATACATACAGTCTTAACGAAGGAAAAGCGGTCGCGCGCTACAACGATAGAATAAGCGAGGCTAAACAGAAATTTATTGCTGATGAGGAGAAGGCGTACACACGTAGTGATCCTACGGAGGCTTTGAACACAGCCCAGGCCAAATTAGACGAGCGTTTGCAATCTGCAGAGGAAAAAAAGATGGAGGAACTCGAGGGATATGATGATACACGCCAAGAGAGGATTGAGGTCGCTCAAGAGAAAAAAGATGATGCTATAGCCACTGCACAGTCTAAATATGACGAATTGAAAGATGAGCCAGCTGAGAAACGGGAAGCAGACCTGGCTGCAGCAGAGGAGCGTTATAACAGTCGCAAAGGACAGGCTATCGAGAAATTCGACGAAAGAGTGGAAGATGCAACGGCCAAGAAAGATGCGGACATGGCTGCCATTGAAAAGGTACGTGAAGAGCAATTGGCCGCGGCAGAGCTCAAGAAAGAGAATTCGACATCCCATTATATGGAGGAAACTTATGAGCCCACCATGTCAGCTGCGCAGGAGAAGTTTGACGCTGATTTGGCTGTTGCCGAGGAGAAGCGCAAAACTGATCTGGCCGCGGCTCAGACCAAGTTGCTAGAGAGACTGGAGGAAGCTGAACTCAGGAAGGCTTTCATGCAGAAAAATGCTGCTGTGTTGCGCGAGAATATCCTGGCTGGTAGACCATCGATGACTAATGTTCTACAATGGGTTCAACCCGTCAGTGAGGAGGAAATACAGGAACTAGGACTCGTGCTTGAATCGAATGGCTCCACTTCCAAATCAGACGACACCAACCTCGAGTCAGAAGATGCGAAACCGGAGTCAGAAGACAACTCGGAACCGGAAATCATTAAGCCCGAGAGGCGGTGAACGAGCCCAAGATTTAAAATATAAACTCTTGAGGTCGACGAATACTTATGCCGTGGATGAATACTTGGTATACTTAAAGTTGCATGGGGATGAATAACTCTGCGACCTAAACACTGATGTAGATACTAAAAGTTTAATGCTTTCCTTTGCTAGGATTTCCAAATAAATAAATCGGATTTAAAAGTTGTTCACTGGGAATCGTAAACCACATATAAAGCGCGCGTGCAAATGGCTACGAGTCCAGAGAGACGGGGCTGGAACAGACACCTAATACTCAGTAGGTGGATGATACCTTTATGACTCGGACAAACAGCGACCATAAGGTTTTATGACAACTTGATTGCGAAGGCAATTTGGATATATAACATCAACACCGACAGTTGAGCGTCTACAAGCATTGGCTTGGGCGCCTGCGAGGATTGTTCGGTAATTGTATCCAGACGTCTTTTGTCATGTTCTTAGCCACTCGGCTATAGTTTTCGATTAGATGCCGAGACAGCCGAGTACAGCCGAAACTGTGGCAATATTCGACACAGGCAACATTATTGCAAAATTTCCAGCGCTAGTTTTGGGTTCCTGACGGATCAATAGTCTTCTTCTCATATGTCACGACCTACTTAAGTTTCACTAGTTCATATTATAGTATACTCGTCAATTGTGCGGAGCTCTCGCATGTAGCAAAGACAAAGTTACAATCTGAACCTGAAACAAGATTGTGAAGCCTAAATTTATCTTTGATTTATTCCAACAAATTTGTATTTCAACCTATGTTTCAATTTGAGAAAACTGTGTATCTTGTATGTTACAATCAATTTGATATGATGTAGTTCGTGTGAACTACAACAATATCCCATTATATCATGGTACGGTAAATTCGAATATCTTGTTTGCTTTGGAATATTGTCACTTATATTGCTTTGAAATTCAAAAGATTCACCACGTGTCAATGCTACTATCGGTTTTAGTATCATGATTCTCACAACTTTATATGTACTTGATCAAATTCGCCGCTCGAAACAATCTTCATATCCACACCCTCCATCGATAACTTTCCAACCATGTTATTGTCGCGAATTTAATGTGCTTGTCATATGCCATGTCTTGTTGTCATATGCTACAACCTAAGTTCCACTCGAGATGGATTCAGGTAACGACTATATTTATTCACAATTGATTTGACAAATCAGTGCATTGTGAAGACGATAAGACTCGCAGAACTCGGTGATGACCGCGGCCGCGAATGGTAACAGTACTGGTTTGAACCCGAGGAGGTTGCGAAATCTTGTTCATTTCAATAATGGTGTGTCGACTCAAGATGTAGTTTATTGTTGAGTCGAATGAGGCCGTTTACAGGGTGACTGCCTTGATATGCATGAGCACTCAATATGTCACATTTGTAGTGTTGTGTGCGGTCGATGAGTGTAAACCCTCAGAATAGATCGCAATTATTTTACTCAAATTGCCAATTCCGTAACCTCGTCGCTATAGATCTTTCTTCTCTATAACCTTTACAAGCAGACCTCGATATATATCATCACACAAACCAATTGTCCAACAACAAGGCAAATATAATTATCAACAAATATGATAATCAACACACGTACATGATTATCAACATTGAAGACCGTGAGCGGATGCTGTGGCCTCGTGACAATGCGCGACGAATTGTGTAAACAATATACGATTATTCGATGGCCAAGGCATAGAGATTATCCATGTCATGGTTTCGGAACCGTTGTCACAAAATTACTCCAAAACATTTGTTGTGATAGAGCTAAAGCATTGCCACCACGCTTGCGAGTTACCACAGTTTATAACTAATATGAACATTGATAGCTCATAAACAGCGCTGGGTTGCGTGGCGAAATATCCAACATACCTACAACACGCAAAGTGCTGAAGCAAAGAGATTGTTACATAAGGCAGAATGATACATTTGAGTATTATAAGTACATGCTCAATTTCTGGATTAAAATTAATGTGCAAAGACATGATGTTCAAATTGTCACAGTCTGTGCATTCTGTGTTAGAATTTGGATCTGTTAATAGCATAAATCGCTGTTTTATTCCAACCAATCTATAATTCAATTTGTAGAAAATCTCTACTGTATGTTACAGTCAATCTGATGAATGAAGCTCATTAAAACTACACATTTGTACACCATTATATAATTGTATATTGGTAAGTTTGGACAAGTTCCGATATTATTAGTCTGTATCTTCCGGTTTGGTTAATATGGTCATTTGTATTGTTTGTTTTCAAGTATGTGTGATTTACACTTCATTGGAATCTTCAAGATTCGCTAAGCGTCAATGTTACCATCAACATCATTTTCCCAGCATCATTCTAACTGAACTTCTTGATCGTTTAATTTTCGCTTTCAGAATCATCATCATCTGTCCTTTCGGCGCCCAGAACAATCTTATCCACACCCTCCATCGATGGTTTTCCAGCCATAATATTATCGCGAATTAAATTGGCTTGCGCTTGCTGAAAATCTTTAACAGCTTGTACCGCATCGATCCTGGTTTGATTTTTATCGTCAACGACTGCCAAATCGTCGATTTTCTTCTGCTCCGCGATCGCCAGATCATCCTCAAACTTTTGCTTGGCAGCTGCCATATCATCATCGTACGTGTCCAAACCTTCAAAATCAAAATCTCTCTTGGATTCGGCAGCGGCCAAAGACTCCTCCCGTTTCGACTCCGCCGCAGCAAGGTCATCAGTTTGCCTCTGCGTAGCCTCGCGTATAGCTGCATCTCTTTTATCTTCTGCTACACTCTGACGACTTTGAAGATCTACCTCGACTGCCACAAGATCCTCATCCCGTTTCACACTGGCAGCTTCCTCTGCAGCTCGATACCTTTCCTCCACAGCTGCCAACGCAGTCTTTTTCTTAGCCTCAGCTTCTTCGGACTTTTCTTGTCGAACATTGTTGAATCGTTCCAAATCATCCGTTTTCTCATCATCCGCAGCTTGTATATTTTTGGCTTTCTTCGTTTCCGCGGAACTCAGAGCTTCCGTGGGATCAGCGCGAGCCAAGGCCACCTTCTTCTCCTCGAGAAACTTATCAGTAGCATCCTGGGATTTTTCGTTGTACCGTGTCAGGACTTCAAGTTCATTTGCAATGTAGGTAGCGTTGATCTTTTCCATGTCAGCCGCGAATCGTTGTTCAGCACGCTCGGTAGCATTGTTACGCTCGAGCTCGGCACGTCCAATTGCATCCTGATATCGCTGCGCAATCTTGTCGTTAGCCTCGGAGTACTTATTATTCTCAGCCGTTGGATCATAAGAAGCATATCGTTCATTTGCGGTAGACAGTTTTGTGGTGTACCTGTCATTAGCTTTCGCGGACGCTTCCTCAAAACGCAAGTTCGCTTTCGCTGCGGCAGAATCGAATCGATCGTTGATTTTTGCCGTCTTGTTCTCAAGTTTGACCTGCCAGTCCTTGTCTGCATTGTCGAACCGCTCGTTAATGCGTATTGTTGCATTTGTGAATCTCTGGAGCACCCTAGCCTCATCAATCTCTGCTTTGGAAAGTGCCGCATCAAACTTCGTTGCGTATCTTTCTTCAAGGACTTCCACTTTCTCCACGTACCTCTGAGTCGCGATTTCCTTTTTTTTGCCATAGACATACTCGTCAAATGTGATACTGGGAAGATGACCCGCATATCGTATACTCTCAGTGAGTTTGAACCATTTGTTGTCGTTATTGACATCTTGCTCTGTGTAAAGGACTACTCCAGTGGTATTTCCATAAACAGCCGTAGTTGTGCCATTCCATTCAATTTCTGCAAACTTCGCGCTGGGATTTTTAGGTAAAGCAGGTTTAGCGGATGGGTTGCCGCTGACATAGTAGATACTTGAGGCATCGGCATCGCCGTGTGCAGCATTGTTTGTGAACTGGGCTGTTTTGTATAATACAGTATCACCTCGGTATACGGTACTGGCGGACCAGAAATTCCACACACCACCCCTCTCGGCAGCAACATTAGCATGGTAGTGACCATCGAAAATAAGCTGGGAGTTTGATTGATGGGAGTTAGTAGCAAGTACACCACCGCGACCCTGGGCAATGTTACCGATGAAGTCACCGTTCATGCGTGTGAAGCTTGTACTGCGGAGAGATTGTACGCGGACGGCGCCAGCGCGTGCCCCAAAACCTCCATCAATGGCTATATTCGATTTATACAGGCCATCGAATGTGATGTTTCCAAAATTTCCCTGAATATTAACGGCACCACCCTGATTGGCTTGATTGTTCTCAAACTTTCCATTCAGCAGCACCTCCCCAGCCACGAAATCCAGATATACGGCGCCTCCACTGCTATGAGCAGACCCTCCTTCGTAACTCGCTGAATTGTCTTTGAATGTACCTCGGAGCGTAATATTGTTTCCACGAGGGAGATACACCACTCCAACAGCGGCCCCACCTGCATAAAGGTTATGGTCTGATGATTGCAACGTAAGATTTCTAAAAATGCAGTCATCGTCCGTATACAATTTCTTAGCTCCGCCTAGGAATATCCCACAGCCTGTCCGTTGGCACCACATGTCGTAAATGTGTACATTGAGGAGGGTCAGATCAACCATTTGGTGCCCAGCATCCTCTTCGTTGCCTCGACCATGTATACCAGCACTAGATTTACCCTCAACTCCGGTTATATCTAAATCGCTGAAGATCATTTTTTGGTCCCAACGACTAGCTTCAAAAGCCGCCTCGGTCTTCGAATCAAAATCAGCTACAATTTTGGCTCGAGTGCCATCGCAAGTTACACCGGCTACGGTGATGACCCGATTAGTAAAATAGATTGGTTCCACAATTGTCTTCGTACCGCCAATATATACGGTGTTCTCGGAGCCATCGACATCCATCGCTTCCTGCACAGTTTTGTAACATTTACCGTTCACCACAGCTCCCGCACAAGTGCATGTCAGTTCTTTCGACTTTGTAATATCCGTTGAATCGCCACTATGGTCAGTGCAACAAGTTGCATGACCACATCGAGGCATACCGGTATCACCACATTCGCCCTCGAATCTACAGCAAATTTTCGCCGAATCCACACTAGCACGGAAGTGTTCCTCACAGCGCAGGTGTTTTTGCTCACCACATGTCGTCTCATAACTGGGCATCTGCAATATAGTTGTGGAAGGCATAGGTAGAATCGTACGAGTCGTATCTACTGCCTCTGTATTGGGATGGTCCGTTGGTGCTGCGGGATCAGCAGCAGCTGCTTGTCTAACACTGGTAGCAGCAACGAGTGTAGCAGCAACAAGTGTGAAAACTAAACATGCTTGTAACTTCATTGCTGATGTATACAGCGGCTGTAGAAATACCTCTTACTCGAAAGGAAGAATATACTTCACTGGGGAACAGGTTCTCACAATATATATCGCACAGCCGGCGGATATTACAACAGCAATCTGGTAATTCCACTAAAAATTTCACAGACCAAGCTTTCATTCCATGGTGCCCGAATACAAATCGCAGGACAGTTCCTGTAATTCCATAGTCGCACCTGACAAGTGTAACAACTTGTATCAGGAAAGACAAACTCGTATCAGTAAATTTTCCACCAGTAGCTTCGAAATCGATCACACAAATGTCTGTAAAAGAATGATTACTCTTTTTATTGTAAAGGAATACAAGGAGCTGACTCTCAACAGCGAGCAATTATATATTTTTAGTTTTGAGTTTTGTGGTTCACTTACACCCTTGGAGACTGGGAGTCTGGTTTGTCAAACTCAGTTCTATGAATATGACTATATGTATGAATGTACAAAAAGAAAACAATCTTGAATCTTTACGAGCTGATGCTTGAATTCAGAATTCAGAATTCAGTGTTTCACTCATTGTCAATTTGTCACTGGACAGTTAGCTGGACAGTGGATAGTGGACACTGGATACTCATTGGCAATTCGGCATCCCCGGACCCCGAGTCCCGAGTCCCGAGACCCCGTTTCAGATCTGCTGACCACTCCTATATAAATAAATACAATAGGTTCGAATATATTTATTTGTAAACAAAAAAGTTTGTTTTTCGATATTTCTTATTTAGCTGTTATTTTTTTACAATAAATATGTATCTCACCATTTTTGTCTGACATCTGACATCAGTCATCAGTCCTCATTCATGAGTCATGACTCATCAGTCATAACACTGATCAGATTTCAGTGCCTACTTTGGCTTCTGCCTCTGTCCGCGAGGCTGAGACTTGAGAGCAGAGAGTGAGAGTCAGGAGCCTGAGGCACCCTGAGCCCTGAGACTTCAGACAGAGACTTGAAAGGCTGAGACAGTGACTTGAAAGTAAAAGAATAATACAAAAAGAGCCACATGTAGTCCAGAGACTCCAGACTTCACACAAGTTCACAGTATTGCCGGGCACCACAATAAAGCACTACTTCTATGCTCTTATAATTGTCAGTCTAAAACACACCGGACACAGAGAGTTATTTATTGATTTGCTTTTTTTAGTTCTTTTTGTTTTTAACAAAAATCAAATAAAAATACTAAAAAAGAACAAAATTGAAACGCAGACGGCCCGACTACAGACTTAGGCTAACCTCATTATCCTCATAACGTTTGGCGTCATGTATATAAAAGTTGACTTTTCAACGTTTAACGGACTATTTTTTAGTTGCAACGTATTTTGGTATATTTTGTCCTGTATATTATGACCTGGATAGCGCACCTATTCATAACAATTCTATCTCAATTTTGACATCAGAATATTTCGTCAGGACAAAATGTTGGTGTATATGCCTATTGCCTGACCTGGAATATGGCCTAATACTATAAACGGGAAACTGAAATGGAAGATTTGCGTTGCAACTTATAACGATATGGGGTTAGTGACTCACTGTAGGAGGTGAATATGTTTTGTAAAAATACAAAACGGATTTTCCTTCGGACAGTCTCTCTAAATATAGTAAATAAATACTCAAAAATATATTTAGAGTATGATTATTTTTCTCATTTTTTGCAGTCATGGGATTTCAGATTTGGTTCAAGAAAATTAAATTTGAATCTACAAATATGTGGTATTTTTCTCTCTATTCTCTAGAGTCTGTAGGATTGTAGGCTCATAGAGAGAGAGTGTGTGAGAGTAGGGAATACCGGAATAAGAGGGGACCAAGTCACCAAGGGCTATATCATACAAGAGGGGTGAGGCGGCCGGCCAGAAGAGAGTCGTGAGGGGCCAGGGACTCAGGTTTCAAGGCCTCTATCAGGGGACTCTCTCACTGCCTCAGAGGGGTCCACAGACTCCTACTTCATGAGCGATGACCACACATAAAAATGAAAGATATGTAGATATTTACTAATCATTCTTCAGTTGATTGGTTGTTCTTTCGAGTTCACTAAAAACAGTTGAATGCTCGGAGCCACTAAATAATGAGTTCCCTCTTTTTCTTTTCAATATTCCATCCGCCAGTCATCGATCCTTCGACCCCCGGTGATCACCAATCTTCCTCGTAGTCCATATCCCCAAGTGAATACACCTCGCCTTTGTCTCACTATAATGCAAGTTCGAATATCCAGGATTGAAGTGGACCATATTAACAGGTACTATCTAATCGCCCTTGCCGGTCATGCTGCGCTACTATCCACTAAGGTCAATTCCTCCTGGATGACCAACTATTTCCGTGACCTTCACGTCACAAACCATTCCGACTGCGTTGTTATAACGCTCTGAGCCGCGCTGAGGGCTGAGAGCTGATGGTGGCTCACTGATCGGCTGACGGCCTGAGCGGGCCCAGAGGTACTGCCGCGCTGAGCGATACAAATAATTTGAAGCATTCACATTCTGATTAGAACGAGGCTTCTTCTTGAGACTTGAGTCATCTACTTTCAATGCAGCTAAAATAAGATGACTTTATAGTTTATATTGTTGATATTTGTTCTTGACAATAAATGAAACACCTCGGCCTGTGTTCACGCGGGACCACTTGAGGCTGATGTAGATTCACGCATAGTAAGCTTATGAAATGTGTAATGGTCTTTGAAATGGAAGGAAGCGTGCGATGTTCACCAGAATCGATAAACGTGCTTTCAATATCTCAGTGGATGTTGTGCAAAATCAGTACTCGCACAGGTAAGTTTGGGACTACTGTATCCCCCTGCGAAAGTCTGACACAATTATGTTGACTATTGTTCTATCTGATCTCATACTCTCGGGATATCGTTAACTCTCTAGCCGCAAAATTGATTCAGTGCGTTTCAAATATATATCAGAATCTAAGGGATTTTTCGATAGGAGCATTTGAAAGAATGATATAAATTCTATCGGCTATTCAATCTCAGTATTTATTCTCAAAAAGAACCCCAAACCAGGAACCCCGGCAGGTAATATATTGACAGGCAGATATGATGTCGGCTCTAGTGTGCTCCAGAAATTAATTATAACAATCCATTGCATTTTCCTGCATATCCAAGACCGGTTTGAAGATGACCAAAGGGCTAATCTGATCCCGCAATAGCAGCTCTCCACGCACCGTTTCCCTCTTAAGTGCCGCTAGGCACGAGCCATCGCTTAACCATCTCAAACATCCATCCAAGCTCACATCAGCACTAGTTGGGCGCGCTGAGGGTTTGCTATCATCGGGTTTACAATCAACAGATGTCACGCATGATGGGACTGTAATATCAGTACCCATGTTCGTTTCTTGCTCATTATCTGCAGCTGTCTTGGAATATAAAAGCTGTCTCAGTTGGTATGCAACACTTTGTCTAACAGCTGGTTCCTCCGTTTCGAATCGCTGGATAAGTGAAGCGGCTTTAGACATTTTAAACAACTCTATGCGTGCACGTATGCAGGCTCCGTGTCTTGATGGAGGCTGTACACCGACCGACAGGTCTGACAATGATGACGAATTCACTATGTCATCGGAAATCTCGTGGCTCCCATTCATGCGACCTCCAGCTAGGGCACCATATTCTACATGATCTACAGGGGCGCCATTCATTGTGAAATCGTGGGCTTGATTGAAACAATGAAGTTTTTCCTCCGGGATAAGTGACAACATGAGATGAATTGCTCGGGTACGCACTTCTGTGTCGGGGTCACTATCGCCGGCTCGATATAAACATCCGGCCAGTTGCGACAACTCTGGTGTGCAGCAACAGGCATATGAGCTGAGAAAAATACAAATCCGCAAGAAAATGAGTTCAAATGTCCGTAAATAAGCATGTAAAACATCCGTACTTCTATACACCATATGTGCACGAACTACAAGTGCAAGTTTGATCAGATACAAAGACAATTCAAGTGTTGATCACGGTACATCCCACTTATTTTGAAAAAAAAAGAAACGAACGTACGAAGATCGAGGTAGCAAAAATTAAGATATACATTTTAGCTTTACACGCAAAGAACCAGTGGGCGATTATATCAGCAACTTATATTATCAAACAGCATCATTTCATCGCGTTCTCTCAGGAAATACATCTACATACTAACATTTATCATATCGATGTAAATCAATGTAACAACACATACGTGAGAATGCCGTCGAGCAGCTCAATCGCCGCCCTCCGACAGAACGCTTCCGGATCGGTCCGCACACGTGCCCGAGCCATCTTGCATATACTGAGTATGACTCTTATGAATTCCACACTCTGACAAACCACCATGCGGCTGTGATATAATTCGTGTGTAGTGTCATACTCATCTATCGATGCTTGCGAATGACCATTGCTTGGCGGAGACAAGCGCGTGTTCTGTTTGGCAATCTCATCCATAGTCCGAGCTTTCTGATCCTCACGCACATTAACTTCTTCGTTGTCGATCTTATCTAGAACTGGCACCATGCCTGGAATTATAGGTGTCATCTCCTTGTCCGCAAAGTATGCATCTAGCATGCGGTTTCGGTCCTTTTCGGTGAGATGTGGTGGTATGGGCACCACCTCGTGTGTTTTGTGAGCTACCTGGCTCGCTATGGGGTCTCTCTTGCTGCACGTGTCTGCGTACAGATTTTGATCGTCCGCAAAATAGGTCTGTAATATCACACGTGTGGGCTCAAAGGCTAGAAGGTCGCACATGGCCCGCATACTCGAGCTGTAGAAAGAATGTGATGGCAATTGAGATCGATACGAGAACGGAATCTCCAAAGTATATATTTATATAGACACAGAAACCATACATATATATATATATATATACATAACATACATATATTTATATATATATATAAACATACATACATACATATACATACATATACATACATATATATACATATATACACACACACACACACATATATATATATATATATATATAATATACATACATATACATATATATATATATATAGATAAAAATAGATATATATATATATATGTATACATAGTTTATGACCCACACAAATACATATATACATGCAATTTACGAAATTATAAATATATATATATATGATCCACACACATACAAATATACATACATGCAATGTACAAAAACACAAATATAGATAATTCTAAACACAAGTAAAAAACACACACACACACTCCCACACACTCACACGCACACATATATATATACATATGTAATAATAGTCATATATACATACAAACGCACACACACACACATACACACACACAGATATATATATATATATATATAATACACACACAATATATATATATATACACACACACACACACAC